GCAGGACTGCCCTGTCCAACTGTCATCAAGAATATGCCACTTCTTTTCTCCCATATCCTTAGGACCTTCCAGTGGCACTTCCAACCCCTGTAAGAGTCAGCCCCAGTGTCTCAATGGCACTACTACTAAAAGTCAGGTATTAATGTGAGCAAGTTAAACAGATGATTCTCTTCAACAACAGCAACAAAAGATGGAGCTAAAATTTACATTTGGTTCATGTGAGGATTAAATGAGATAACACACATGAACACTCAACGCAAACTGAAGTAACATCACTTCATCTTCACTCTCCGGGTCTGTCTTTCACTCCAGGCACCTCTGCTCTCTGTGTGGATCCCATTCTCATTACTGTCATTCTTTTCTATGTTCCCCTGATGTCTGACTCAGCATCATCTGGATATAGTCATTCCAGTCTTCTAACTCCAAGACTGACTGATACTGCTTCGGAAAGCCCATCTCGTCCACAAACCGTTTCTAAACCAACTACATTTCTCAAATGTTAAAGTACATGCAAATCACTGAAAAACCATGGATATAACTCAGTAGTTCTGAGAAAGGTCCTGACAGTCTGCATGTCTAACAAGTTCCCAGGTAATGCTGATAATTCTGGTACATGGACATATGCTTCGAGTTCTAAGAAACTAGTATTTTTCAGGGCTCTACTTTTCAAGATGTCACTGCATAGATTATAACCCAGGGCTGGCAGGACAGGAATTCTTACCACCATTTTAACACATGGAATCCTGAGGATTGTAACTAGAGAAACTACTTGACAAAACCACAGAAAAGCCTGGCAATGAAGCCCCTGTTCTCATCCACACTGATGCTCCTGCTTAGCTCTAACACCCAGCTATTCCCCACCCAAAGAAATACTCTTGTTCTTCTGCTCACATGGAATGTCAACACCAGTGTCTCGGTCTCCTAGGACACCTTGTCGTTCTGCTTACTTCATAGCTATATTTTCACCCTTAAAAGCCTCCAGGACAGGGTTCTTGAACACATTCCAGCACCATTCTAGGTTCTAGAAAAATTCTGAATGAAACATCCTTTCTAGAATCATTTCTAGAACCTATAATGACCAGGCAGGTGGGGGAAATGTGACCTGGGTTGATGAATACCTCCTAGAAAGCCACATCACAACAGGACTCAAGGCTAAGTGGCATATTTCCCCACCTTTGTAGCATATAAATCTCCTCCCAAAATGTTTTACTTGTAGAACTTCAAAACAGCCATGTCCAAGTTTCGAAACAAAGTCAAAGTTATGATCATTATGCTCAAAAGTGGGAAAAGAAAATCAACCCTTTAAGGACTGAATTCTTCTTGGGTTTCAATAAGTAGTCCTATGTAACAATCAAAATCCTAAATTAACAAACACTAAATTTATATAAATATATTCAGAAAAAAATTATCATGATTAAAGTGTTTTATGGTAGGCATGTTTTCTTTCTAAATATGAAAACTAAAATAAGTATTTTGAAAATATCGTATCATACCATTTCTTGTGAAACATAATCTGGACTTTTTATATCAGCAGAATAAAAGGAAAAGTCATAGGTGAAGGTCTTGGTTCGTTCTCTTCCTGAGTCGCCAGTCCCTCCTTCTGGTATCTAGAAAGAGATGATTATGAAAGATAAGACAAACAATGTTTAAAAAAAAAAAGAAAAAGAAAGAAAGAAACCAATTGCCATTTGACAAGTGACCCGAATTAGGAAAAAAGATATGTCTTCCTCATAAATATAAAACAATCACCATTTTTCAAGTTTATATATTCAGTAAAAAGGATTTTATCCCTCCTGACCTCCCTAAAAAAAAAAAAAAAAAAAAAGTAAAACTTAAATATAACCTAAGCTCTTACCAGCAATCCAAGTTCTCTGTGAAATGACCCTATGCTACTCTTCTGGCCTTTTTCTCATAATTAACTTATTTGAACCCAATGTTCCAGCCAGACTCTATGTTTTTTGGTTTTGGTGATTTTTACTATTCCTGCCATCTGAATCCACCAGAACTGGGCTCTGCACAACTCCAAGGGGTGCTCGCCACACAGATCATGATGAGACTGGCATTGGCAGTTGTGTGATTTGGTTACTGGACCCACTGAAAACCTGAGGTCAGTTGTCTATTCTCCCATGATGATTCCCTTGGTCACTCCCACCTCTGAGAGCCTGGACTTTCCCAGAACACACTTTCTTTTTTTTAGGATTTTGCCATAGGACACATGCACTCACTGGAGAGAAACTGAGAGAGACATTCCAAGGGGGATGACCACGCCACAATCCTTTCTCCTCCACTCTGCTCTCGGGATTTAGGGCATGCATACACACACACACACACACACACACACACACACACACACACAGTGTGCTTTTCAAGTCACTGGGTCTGGGATTCCCAGTCAGTCATGTGGGAATCCAGCACCTCAACCAAATGCCACCTGCTGGTCCCAGAACACATCATAATTTAAGTTTATTACAAATGTTTGCACATATCTTGTCTGCCTTGCTATCTGTTTAAGCTTTTTTTAGTTTATTTACTTATTTAATGAGATAGCAAGCAAGATAACAGTCTTTCTCAACATTCTCATGCCATGATCTCCTCATAACTTTTCTCACCCAGGATCACGGGCAACCACACATATTCATACATGCACATGCGCACACACACCTGGCCTGTATAGGTCAACCTGGGACCCAAACCCTGATCTTCCATATGGTTTCCAGCACTGCGGTTGTTGTGCTACTGCTGTGCACCAAGAGTTGACCCTATATGCTTAAATTGAATCCAAAAACTATATTTAAAAATTTTCATATAGAAGTCAAGTAGTGGTACAGCAACAGCACAACTGGACCCACATACGAAAGGTACTGAGTTTACAAACTGGGACCTCCCTGCGCATCATGGAAATGCACATGTGTGCTCATGATCCAGGCCACCTAAGGCTTGGATTGGTTTCCAGCATAAAGATCTTGCAGGATGGGGTACCTGTGTCCTTTTCATGGAAGAAATAAACTTTTAAAAAAAAAAAAAAAAAAAAAAAAAAACCACTTTGCTTGAGGGCATGTGTATTCACTGGAGAGAGAGAAAGAGAGGGAAAGTGGGAAAGTGGGAAAGTGCCTACCCATACCTTAGAGGATGGTTACAGTGCAATCTTTTCTCCTCAATTTCTCCTTTCATGGATTTTGGGCCACATGCACTTGGCATGTTTTTCTAGCCACTAAGTCCAGAACTCAAACCACACATTTGGTCATATGGGAACTAGCAGACTTAAACTGGCCCAGAAATAAAAGTTTTTTAATTATTTATTTATTTCATCCATGTTTGACAGACAGACAGACAGAAGCAGAGACAGAGAAACTGCACCAGCTACAGGGTCTTTATACTGCAATCTACCTCTAACAGGATCTTTATGCTGTGATCCACCACCAGCCTCACCCAGCCTCCATCATAGCACAGAGATGTTTAGCACACTGAAGGAGACCTCCAGACACAAAAGAATCCTCCCACATGGGTCATGTTCTATGCTATACCACTGTCCATTCCCCAGTAGATAATTAAAAAAAAAAAAAAAAAAAAAAAAAAACC